TTTTTTTTTTTTTTTTTTTTTTTTTCCTGTGAAGTTTCCACACTGGCTTTGTCTCAGCTGCCTACAGTGGTAGTAGAGCTGCCAAGTTTCCCTGCAGCATTAGGACAACCACTGATCCAGCAATGTGTGCTACATCACTAGTCCAGGCTGCCTGTAACTGCCCTGACACCAGCATTTCTCTTCTGCCTCCATTTCTCTTTGACTCCTTGCCTTTTCTCCCTTTTCTCCAGTGGGATGAGAAATCTGCTGCATTAAATGTATATAAAATGAATCCCATCTAGGTTGAAGCTGGCCACGAGCTGCTCCTCCTGCACCATCACCCCCCACACATCATGATGGAGCAGCCGTCGCAGAAAGCGTTCTGTAGCTGGCAAAGCATCTTAAGAGCTGTGTCTCCTGCTGAACAAGCCTCCAAGCTGTCTCGAGCTGTAATTTGCTGGCAGACATCTGTGTTACTAACAGTCTTTCACAGCTGGATCTCTGGTCTGGGGTTTGCAGACCGTGGCTTGCCGAGGTTAAGCTTGAATCAGAAAGGGTACTTCTGGTGACATGGACACGTCCTGGCAATAGAAGCTTTGGGGAGGACTCTGGCCACAAGAGCAAAGTGCTGCCAATGCTAAAAGAGGTAGAAATAAATGGGGAAGAGGCGTGCCTGGTGAGAACTGTGCTCCTTTTAAGGACGGCACACAGTGAGTGTTTTCCATCTCCTCCTTTTATTTAGCATTTAAGACACGGTTGGCAGGCTTTTCTTTACATGTGGGTAAATGAGGGAGAACAATTCTGCTTTGCTCTGAATGCATCTCAGGCATCATCTCCAAACCTGCTTGGTGCTGTTCTGGCTTACTGTGCCCCTTACGGCATATAGGCACATGGAGCTGTTTCATCCAGTGTGCCCTGTCAGCCTTCTGCAGCCTTGTGTTTAACCAGAGGTATCCAGAAGGCACTACCCATTGGCATCAGCTGTTGTGGTTTCAAAATTAACCTCTTGCTTCTTCTCAGAACATAAACAGTGGCCTTTCTGGTGTTTGCATTAAAACAGGATTTGTTGAAGGCTTGTTTTCAGATCAAAGCTCTAGCTTTTTGACTCAATAAATTTCAGCAGCAAAAGAGCCTGGACAAAAAAATCCGGTTTCAGTCCTGACATGTTCCTGACTTCCTTTGCCCTCCAGGTCTGCACACAGTTGTACAGGACCCATACAGAGCGGTTTGACCCAGTGCAGTCCCAGCCATGCCATTGGGGCTGGAGCCCCAGAGCACAGTGTGCTGGAGGGCTGTGTGCTGCACCTGAGTTTGCGCATTGACGGTACCTGCAGGGCACTACTGGCTTCTGGCGAGGTTTTGTCACAGTGCATGACCTGGGGATACGCTATGCTTGTGATTGATCCCAAGGCAGAGGCTGGTGCCCAGGAGCTAGCGCTGAGCAAAACCTATTTTGTTCTAGAGTCAATATTGGCCACTTCCTGGCAAGCCGCCAGCCTATTCTGTGCTCGCCCTTTTCTTTTCCAGCAGGGAATGTCTTTCAGCCTCCGAGCATCTGATTGAAAAAGCAACTTCACTTTT